GGATTATTGAGTGCAAGGTAGATTAGTTAACTATGGATTATTGAGTGCAAGATAGATTAGTTAACTATGGATTATTGAGTGCAAGGTAGATTAGTTAACTATGGATTATTGAGTGCAAGGTAGATTAGTTAACTATGGATTATTGAGTGCAAGATAGATTAGTTAACTATGGATTATTGTGTGCGATAGATTAGTTAACTATGGATTATTGAGTGCGATAGATTAGTTAACTATGGATTATTGTGTGCAAGATAGATTTAATAATTTGTTATGTCTGCACAATTTAAGTTTTATCAATACCTCTTACGATTATTGGTTGGTGATTGGTTATGGTCACGTATCATGTAAGGTTCGGGTGCGGTAGGATAGGGTAGGGTGCGGTAGGATAGGGTGGGGGAGGATGTGTAGGACATACGGTGGGGTGGCAGGATAGGGCGGTAGTATAGGTAGGGGTGCAGGATAGGGTAGGTGCAGGGACAGGGTAGGGTGCAGTAGTATAGGGTAGGGTGTGGTAGGATAGGGTAGGGTGCGGTAGGATAGGGTGGGGTGCGGTAGGATACGGTAGGGTAGGATAGGGTAGGGTGCGGTAGGATATGGTAGGGTGCGGTAGGATAGGGTAGGGTTAGGTTAAGGAAAGGTAGAGTTAGGGTAGCGTAAGGTAAGGTGGATTAGGTTGGGTTACTTAATCTTATGTTAACCTAACCTAACCTAACACTCCCCTCCCTACAGGTGACATTTGGGGGTTTAATCATCAGGTAAAATATTTAACTGTAAGGGTCTTTAGGGTTACCCTTCCCATAGCTCACTATTGACCTGGCATTGACCTCAAACGTTGATCTTTAACGTCTCGTGTATGGGGTCACGTCTGTGCTTAATAAAATCATCAGCCAAATAAAATATTAAATATGGTGTACCTGTAATGAAGGAGCATTAGATACACTGTAGTATTCACCATTTTCCTACAGCATCTTACAATGCATTAGGTCTGTGATTTGTGATGTTCATTTAGGCTCTTTGTACATATCTCAACTTTGTAAATAAATCGGACGTATAAAATAAAACCCAATTTTTTGTCTGAGTATTTTTAACCATTTATGAATAATGTCTGGACACCATTAGGTGGTTGTGAAGGTGCACAGTACAGTACTCCTTAACTACTGTACTGTACTTCTAGGGGAGGAATGCTAACAGGGTCATTGTCACATCATTACTATATCACATCAGTCTCCAGCTGACCTGCACATGGTCACACATCACGTCAGTCTCCAGCTGACCTGCACATGGTCCACACATCACGTCAGTCTCCAGCTGACCTGCACATGGTCCACACATCACGTCAGTCTCCAGCTGACCTGCACATGGTCCACACATCACATCAGTCTCCAACTGACCTGCACATGGTCCACACATCACATCAGTCTCCAGCTAACCTTCAGGTTGTCAGCAATTGGCAGTCTGTGACTGACCTTCACATCATCAGTACGTCACGTCAGTCTCTAGCTGACCTTCATGTCGTCAGCAAGTTAGGTCAGTTATGCCATAATTACCAAAAAATGATAATATTTGTATGTTAAGATTTGCATTTTTATATTACAGTACAGTATAGTACAGTACAGTACAGTACAGTATGGTACAGTACAGTACAGTACAGTACAGTACGGTACGGTACAGTATAGTACAGTATGGTACAGTACAGTACAGTACAGTACAGTACAGTACGGTACGGTATAGTACAGTATGGTACAGTACAGTACAGTACGGTACGGTACAGTATAGTACAGTATGGTACAGTACAGTACAGTACAGTACCTGCACGCAGCATAGTACAGTATGGTACAGCCAGCACAGGCACAGCCAGCACAGCACGGGTAACGGCACGGTATAGTACAGCATGGCACAGCACAGCACAGCACGGGTAACGGCACGGCATAGCACAGCATGGCACAGCACAGCAACGGCACGGCACGCAGATAGCACAGTATGGCACAGCACAGCACAGCACGGCACGGCACGGTATAGTACAGCATGGTACAGCACAGCACAGGCAACGGTAATGGCACGGTATAAGCACAGCATGGTACAGCACAGCACAGCACGGCACTGGCACGGCATAGCACAGCATGGCACAGCACAGCACACAGCACGGCACGGTACCGCATAGCAAAGCATGGCACAGCACAGCACAGCCAGCACGCAAATGGTGAGCAGACACAGATGGTACAGTACAGTCCAGCACGGCACTGCACGTATAGTACAGGTATGGCAGCACAGCACAGCACGGCACGGCACGGTATAGCACAGTATGGTACAGCACAGTACAGTACGGCACGGTACTGCATAGTACAGTATGGTACAGCACAGCACAGTAAGGGATGCACGGTATAGTACAGTATGGTACAGTACAGTACAGTAACGGCACGGCACACGGTATAGGCACAGTATGGTACAGCACAGCACAGTAACGGTACGGCACGGTATATAACAGTATGGTACAGTACAG